CCCGTCTCTCTCACCGAAAACATTTTAATTTGGAAGATCTTGGTGGCGATAATAGACTCGACTTCCTGCTAATTGGGCTTTCACTCTGCAGATCTGACTCAAGAATCTCAGCCACGGAAATGAATGTGAAACAGGAATTAGTGAACCCAGAAAGCCCCGCTGGGCTGAGAGCTAATGAGATTTTTGTCTGAATCCTGCAGGCAGGCAGGTACTTTCACCCCTTCCCTTCTCCTTTCCCAGGCAAGCCGGCTACCCCTGCAGGTCCCAAAATGGGTTTCTTTGCAGGCGGAGAAAAACAGCCGAGTGAGGAGCCACGGGAGAGGGAGAAGGTGACACCCAGGCCCCAAATTACAAGTGACACTTTCCCTCGGAACTTGCAAAGAAAGATTCTCTTTTGTTTTTGGTGCCCGTGCCAGCAAAGCCCCCGGGAGCCAGCATCACCGCAGCAAATTGCCAAAGTGTGTGAGCAAAATCTCATCTGGGGAGGTCCGGGCTGGCTCTAGCTCGCTCGCCGCGCTTCTGATGGCTCTTTTGATGAGCTGCTGAAGCACGAGAGTCCCAGCAGGAAACCGTAAATGAGATGTTCTCTCGCGTCGCGTGCTGGGCTGGCCGGCTCTCCCCACCTTTTTTCATGAAGGATGCCGTCTCAGGGGCTGGGCCCGGAGGCTGGGCCTTTATGAGGCCCATCCCAGCAGCTGCAGGCCTGGCGGCGAGGAACTGATGAGGGAAGGAAGGCAGGCGGCGAGGGTAGGTTTGCCGTGCGACAACGAACCGGTTGGCCGGGAATGTGCGTAAGAGATGCCCCGCTGCCCAAGCCTCTCCCATCGTGCCGGGAGACAAACCTGGAATTGAGAAGCACGTGCGAGTTATTTCACCTCCAGCCGTATTGGGAACCAAGTCATGAGGTTCCTGGGCATGTCCAAAGAGCGCCAAAGGAGCTTTTGTCAAAAGGCAAGTGGATTTCCTGGTTTGTTTGGGTTTTTTTTTCTTCTTGAAGATGCTTTGCTTCTCATCCAAGAAGCTTCAGTTCTGACTGCATGGTGGGGAATGGAAGGATTTATATTCCTTGCGGTCCTGAATCTTTTGTATTTCCTACCATTCAGTCAGAACCGATGAGCACACAATAGATCCAAACTCAAGGTAAACCGCACCAAACTTGATGGCAGGAAATACGACTCCAGCAACAGAGGGGTCAATGTCTGGAATCCTCTACCTGACTCTGTATTTTTTTCCCCAAACCCCAAAAACTTTAACCTTAGATTGTCTACTATTGACCTCACCCCTTTCCTAAGAGGCCTGCAGTGCATAAGCGCCCACCGTCCCTGTTTCTTTTTATTTTTCTTATATGTATCCATGTATATCCATGTATTCATAACTATGTTTATACTTATACCTATTATCTTGTAAGCAATTGACAAATCAAATAAAATCAATAAAATAAACCTGAAGAGGCTTCTTGGATGAGAAGCGTAACGTCTTCAAGAGGAAACAAACAAAGGAAGTCCAGTTGCCTTTTGAAAAAGCTCCTCTGGGGCCGCCGTGGCCTGGATGACTGAGCATCTCCACAGACATGTGCAGGTAGCCCAGGCCGTTGCTCCGTTGGGCCCATGGAGCTCAAGAGTCCATCAGTGCATGGACAGAGACCTGCATTTGGCAGAAGCAGATCACGCTGGGTGTGAGAATGTCCACAAAGCCCAGACTAACAGTTAGCAAAGGCAACAGACCCCCCCACCCCCCACGCACCTGTATGTGTTGGAAATAAATAGTAAGTTCAGAAAAAGTTTTGGGGGCAGCTCAGCCTCCGCCTCCCGGAGACACCCCAGGGGTTGCTGGCTGAACTGGGCAAGGCAGGAAGCTACACTCCAGGGAGATTCAGTTCCGGGCTCGTTTCTTGCAAAGAATGGGGTGGGGGCTGATGATCTTCCCCCCCTCCCTCCTCCTATTAAGGATGTGATGGCACCGAGTGTGAACTTGGGCGGGTTTTTTTCTCCCCTCTTTTCGCTGTGCCCCAGTTCTGCTCGCTGGGAAGGCTGCCAGGGTAGGTGCGGCCTCCCTGGAATGGCCCTCTGAATTATCGAGATGTGAAAGGTTTATTATGCAAACATAATAAACGTAATAAGGGATGTGTTTATTATGCAAACAGCAACTGAGTTATGTGTCCTTTAAGACTACTAAATAGTTTTTAATTACTGCTATATCAGTAAATCCCATAAATATGCAAATGCAATTAGTTCGCAAAATAGGCCCTAAATATCTTCATTCCTCTCCAACAAAGTTCTTTGAAGTTAATCACCAGCTTGCTTTGTTCCTTCCCCTGGCAGCGGAGCTGAAAACGATGGGAATTATGACAGATGTACAGATTATTTTTGGGGGGGGGGCGAGGAAGGAAGGCAAGCGAGCATCCCCTTTTCTCTCCCTGCCACATCTGGACAGGCAAGGGAAGGGGGAGCGGGCAGGGGAAGAGGTGGGGTGACAAGGCCTCCCCCTCCCCAAGGGAGGAGGATTAGGTTGGATTATTGCTAGCAAAAGGGACATCAACAGCTCCCCAAGTTGGGCAGCGCAAACACCCTGAGCTGGAGCTGCCAGGGGGTATTTCCTGATTTACATGGCTTGTAGTTTGCCCCCACCCCCCACGGCTTAGAAGCCAACAAGGTAAACACACAAAAGTCCGTGCATTCGCATTTTTTTCCTTTTTAATGGACACACATGGAAGGCTGCTGTACTGATTCTCCTGCTTGTCTTGTTTTGCACGTGTGTGTGCGCGTGTGTGAATATGCAACGAATCCTCCCTCCAACTTTCCGCACCACGAAGCCTGCTGCCTTTGCGGGGAAGTGGGGAACGGGTTCTAAAGATATTTTAACTCTTTGGCAAACTTGGAGAGGGGAAGCAAGGGGCTCCAGCCAGCCATTCTCTGCTTGGGGGTACAAAACGGGCGTGTTCAGAGCCTGAACTTGAGCTATCGATCTGGGTTTCCTTTTGAACCTCGTCCCAATGTCTGGACGTTAGACTTGTTTAAATGGGTTGGGGGTTCTGGAATAATGCAAAGTGCCAGGACCCTTCCCTGAGTCAGTGGCTGAAGACGCACCACTCAAGAGAGAGGGAAGGCCCTTTGGGGGAATTGAGGCAGGGGTCCTAGGCCAGGCTTCTCTGATTCGGAAGTAAATTTCTACGCGGTTTTGGCCTGGAGACTAAAACATATGAATGCAGGAATTCGGTTGGGCTACTCTAGAGAAAAGAAGAATTGGGGTGACAGGATAGCAGTGTTCCAGGATTGGAGGGGCTGCCCCAAAGGAGAGGGGGGTCAAATTATTTCCCAAAGCACCAGAGGGAAGGACTAGAAACTACCACGGTTGGAAACTAACCAAGGAGAGAAGCAACTTAGAACTAAGATAGCGAGGACAGTCAACCAGAGGAACAGCTTGGCACCCAAAGCTGTGGGTGCTCCATCGCTGGGAGTTTTTAGGAAGAAACTGGACAACCATTTGTCTGAAATGGTATAGGTTCTCCTGCTCCAGCAGGGGCTGGACTAGAAGACCTCTAAGGTCCCTCCCAGCTCTATTCTATTCTAAGATCCACATAAATTGGTCTCTCTTAGGTTCGCTGCAGCGTCCTGCTCTCAACCAGTGGAGAAACTCTAAAAGACAGTGTGTCTCCCCCCCCCCCCCCCCCCCCCCCCCCCCCCCTTTTGGGCTGGAAGCTCCTTGGATGAGCGACCCCGTGACCAATTCCGTCTGGGCCGCAAGACGGGGGTCCGAAACGGGGTCTCTCCGTGGCTGTTCGGAGATCCCCGGTCCAGAAACGCTCGAGCCCGAGGCCGTCTACCGGGGCAAGAGAGTGGACTAGATGACCTCGGGGGACCCTGCAAAAGAGAGCGCCCTGGGGAGCCCGGGGGCAGGCGGGCAGAGGCAGGACCCCGTCGAACAGGAGCAGCGGCCCTTCGGGTTCCGGGTGGCGCGTCTCCTCCGGAGCGCTGGGAGCCGCTTCTTCGGGCGGAACGGCCCCGGGGCAGCTTTCGACCCCTCCCTCCCCCGCAGGGTCGGCTGTGCCCGGTCGGAGGGCGTCTATCCGTGCCCTGGGCAGGACGGGGGACCCGGAGCGTCCCGAGAAGCACGAGGCCAAGGGCAACTGACGGGCGGAGGGAGGTCATCCATCCCAACCTTGCAAAGGAAAAAAAATAAGCCCGAAAGGGCCGGCGAAAAGCGTCCCGAGCCCCGTCCGTGGCTCAGCTGCTCCTCGGGGCTGCTCCAGCCCACCAGAGTCAGAGGGGGCCGCGTGGGAGGGACACGTCTGATCACCGCGTGGTGCCTTTTCCCTCCACCTGCATCTTCCTAACGCGGAGCCCGGCGGGACAGGCTGGGAAGCGGAGGACGGGACCTGGAGGCCAGGGCCGCTTTAGGGGGATAAAAGTTGAAAAAGAGAGAGAGGGAAAAAAAAATCAAAGCTCTCGACCGGTCGGACTCCGGCCTGCTTCGCAGTTCAAAGGAGAAGCGCGCATGCGCGCCTGCATCCGTGTGTGTGTGTGTGTGTGTGTGTGTGTGTGTGTGTGTGTGTGTGTG